TCGGAAATATTCCATAAATTTCTACGATTTGGGATTTCCCGATTGAAAACCGAAATGATTTGTGCGATGTCGGGCTAATTGCCAACCGAGCGCGCTAGCCGCTGTTATTTCGACAGAATATGATACCTCTACACTTTTCAGCCGTAATTTTCAGCGCGCATTGTAATCATATACATATCGTTTAATTTAGCTTCAAAAACTTGATAAAAACATGTTATTCGTGTTGGTTCCCGCGGAGCGCAATGGTATCATACGGTTGCCAGAGGCAGAGCACATGCAAAGCCGCCTCGGTATAACTAATGTATGTAACGGGAAATCTTATTTCAGTCTAATGAAGTCAACCTTTTTTCTTTGATATTAATGTACGCAACATGCTGCGCATTTTACATTTAACAAAATAAGTTTTTGAAGCTAAATTAAACGATATATATATATGCATGATTACACTGATCCGCGCATTATGTATTACGGCTGAAAAGTGTAGAGGTATCATATTCTGTCGAAATAACAACGGCTAGCGCGCTCAGTTGGCAAATAGCCCGACATGGCGACATCGCACAAATCATTTCGGTTTTCAATCGCGAAATCCCAAATCGTAGCAATTTATGGAATATTTCCGAACGCCACATACACATGAAATGTTTGTCTACTTTTAAGGGCCACGAACATATACTAGGTCTAGGAGATAAAATAGCAAAATTCAGTGAGGCTCGACTGAGCGTTGGCCACGTAGAATTTATAGCTCAATATGTTTGCATCAGACATATGCAATCGACATAGTCAATTCGGGACGTTCATGATAGGGACTATAACACTTCCAAAGCTAATAAACCTATATCCTAATATCCTATAACTTAGGACAAACAATACATTTATAGACTTATTATAAGACTATACGAAACGGAAACATTTACTTGTTATACTATAGATAACAGCAAGATAAGAAATTGTTTTATTAGTGGAGATTTGTTGCGTTAAATTTTCCTGTATTTATCTAGCGCATAAAAGGCAAAAGTACGAAAAAAATATTAAAAATAAAAATATGAAAAAATGCGTTTTTAGCACATTTTATGACCCACGACTTTACCCACGACTTTACCCACGACTTTACCCACGACACACGACTTTTAACCCACGACACACGACACACGACATATAGGGACACTCGTTATCTTGGGCATCTTGGCGCCGATACAACGTAATCACAATTATATTTCCGGTGTTCAATCAGGTCTAGCTTGGCATAGTACAAAACAAGGACTGGAATTGGACTCATGGACTCGTGGATTTTGATTCCTGATGATGATAATGTGTCTAGTATATAGTCAAAGACTCAAAGGTTATATAGTCATAGTATACACTCGCACGTAGCATGTTTTACCAGCAACGTGAAATGCCTTGCCTTAATTTGCTTTATTTCATTTTATTTACTTATTTAATTTCGCCCAATTACATTTGATTACATAAAAATAACAGTGTTAAAGACGAAGATGGCTAGGAGCTTTTTCCTTGGACCCCTAGAAATATATTAACAATCATATTTAATTATTTAATTCCCTGCGTAAGTACTTAATCGATGAAATCGATAATTGATGAGTATCGATATCAATCAATACCAATCGATATTTATTAATCGATTGATATTGGAAATCGATGAATAATCGATGGCTTGTTTTGCTGTGACCTTTCGTCGATTGATTATCGATTTTCTATCGATTTTTATTGATGAAGAAATCCTCTGTTAATATATGCACGCAATCAAACGGGTAACGCTGTAAGTTGATTAATACGTACTTTAATGTCGTAACAAAACAAATGTGAACGGAATTCAGTAACAATGGATTAAATTAAGTTTTTATCTGGCTAGTATACAGATCAATGTGTGCCTTCGAAAAATGAGAACAGATTTACCATTTAGCTCGAACACGCCGACACGTGGCGACTATTTAGGATATAAATCGACAAAGAATCCTTATCAGATCTCAATATCCCAACATTGTATTCTAGGCGCGAACTGTTATGTTCAATTTTTTTTAGAAAAAAGGTTCTTCCGCAAACTAGTCCTCTTTCCGAACTAGTTGAACCAGCCGAACATCCAAGCTACAATCTACGCACATCAAATAAACTCGTTCCAATTAATTGTCGGACAAATCGCTTCAAAAATTCGTACATTCCCTCGTCTGTAACGATTTATAATAAACATTGAGTAACTATAAATTAAAAATGAAAATTAAAGCCCAGCAAATGACTTTCAGACATGCAAGACATAACAAAAATATAAAATTTATTGGCTAACGTTTCGTTGTATTGTTCACAACATCTTCAGAGCAATTAAACTGATTTACAAGCGTGCATTCATATATACAAATTTTAAACGGTTATACATTATTCAAATAAGCGAATAAGAGGAAGGGATGAAAAACAACCTATCATTAAAAATATTAGTAAATTAAAGATATAATGGTTAGTAATTATTAGTAATTAGAGACCTATAGCAAAGCATTAGAATAGGTCAAGAGGAGTTGACCTAATGTTGGCATTTAAAATAGGATTAAGTTTAGATATGAAAAGGCTTTCGCGAATGAGTAAATCCGTTTCAGAAGTAGCAGTGGAAAGGATTTTAAAATCAGAGGGTGAAATTTGATGTTTAGTGTTATGGATATGAGCGAGTATGCCTGACATGGTTGAAACAGAACGTTTCTTTCCAGTCAAAGGTGAAACACCCATATGTTCAGAGATACGCGTGTGTATGTGTCGGCGAGTTTGACCAACATACAATGAACCACAGCATTGACACTTATACAAATACACAACATGCGATCTCAGTTCACAGGGAATTTTGTCCTTAAATGGAAAGAAGTTCGAAAAACGGAAAGAAGGACGAAAGACGACACGTAAGGAAATATGTGGATAAGCAGAAGAAAGAAATTTCTGAAGTTGTGATCGAATTTGCAAACCATGATGACCAGTGAAAGAAAGACAAAAATATATAACCTTTTTAGAGCAAGTATGAACTTTATCTCGAGAGTTATACATTTTATCAAGAAATGACTTGATACAACTATCAACAAGTGTTGCAGGATAACCATTAAGGGAGAACGTTTTCTTGAACGTTTTCTTGTTGTGTATTTGTATAAGTGTCAATGCTGTGGTGCATTGTATGTTGGTCAAACTCGCCGACACATACACACGCGTATCTCTGAACATATGGGTGTTTCACCTTTGACTGGAAAGAAACGTTCTGTTTCAACCATGTCAGGCATACTCGCTCATATCCATAACACTAGACATCAAATTTCACCCTCTGATTTTAAAATCCTTTCCACTGCTACTTCTGAAACGGATTTACTCATTCCCGAAAGCCTTTTCATATCTAAACTTAATCCTATTTTAAATGCCAACATTAGGTCAACTCCTCTTGACCTATTCTAATGCTTTGCTATAGGTCTCTAATTACTAATAATTACTAACCATTATATCTTTAATTTACTAATATTTTTAATGATAGGTTGTTTTTCATCCCTTCCTCTTATTCGCTTATTTGAATAATGTATAACCGTTTCAAATTTGTATATATGAATGCACGCTTGTAAATCAGTTTAATTGCTCTGAAGATGTTGTGAACAATACAACGAAACGTTAGCCAATAAATTTTATATTTTTGTTATGTCTTGTCTGAAAGTCATTTGCTGGGCTTTAATTTTCATTTTTAAACTATAAATTACATACATTTTTATTTGTAAATAATGGTAATATCATACTAGAAGTTCTAAACTCTTCCTATAGTATAGTAAATATGTTTTTGTAAATATACAATATTTTTCTAATCAACCACCCTGTAAATGATAGATGTATTTCAACCTTCATGGTTGCAAAGTCTATATTTTATTAATAAAATCAAATAAATTCAAATTCAAAGATAAAAGTCGACAGCATTTTTTTTATAAACTCGATAAATATCGACGAAAATCGATAATAATCGATAAAATTGGCCACACATTTTTGTGACTATCGATTGGTCATCGATTGACCAATGTAAGTAATTAATATCGATTACCATCGATTGATCGATTGGATTTCCGATGATCGGTTTTCATCGATTAAGTATACGCCGAGTTAATTAAATTAGTTCCATGTTCATTATAACTGAAAATAGGAAAAGTTTATGTATATTTTCATTGGTTTACAGTATAATGACAAGTTTCTATATTCATAGGGACAATTAAGCCAATGGACAAGCTTGTTTAATAAATATAGTCATGTTTATGGTGTTGACTGATTATTTTCCAGTATTAACTGCATGGAGTGTGAAGGAAGTGTTTTTTTCACTTCTCATTTAAAGACGACAAGTTGAGGCGACTATTAAGACGCTGGTCAGTGTAATAAAATAAATAAATAAGTATAATTATTTCGGAGTATCTTTACTCTCCATGCACTGTTACGTCAATGTATGAATAATCAATAAATGTTACTTACGCGGAATTTTCATATCGAAATCAAGCCCAGTCGTACGTTTTTCGTATTTTGAGTCGAATTTTAAATTTTGAGTCCACGCGAGTCCATGGCAATGAGTCCACAAGTCCAGTCCTTGTTTTGTATTATACTTCGCACTGCAGCAAAGTCTGACAAAAGGATGTGTAATGTTCGAACGACGTCAGAGCAAGTTCGAAGTTTGAAGCAGTAGCGCTGAGATTTGTAATTTTTCACTGGCCGTATTCTCAACACTGCACGTACTCGCAACGAAGAAAGACTACACGATGGTTATATTTTTTATCATGTTAGTCATTGCAGGATGGGCAGGTAAATGGAAATTCAGTTATACTACTGTCTACTTTTAATCATACACTGGCACAGCATTGCATGCATGTACTCTGTAAATTGATAAAGTTAGCAGGTTTATATATATTAGACAGCTAGCGCTCATCTAAACTAAATTTAGTATGCTTAGTTCTCATCGCCTACGTTGTGAAAAGAGAGAAAAGTAGACTTTTTGGCAAAATACAGAAAAGCGGAAGGATAGAGAATAACGAGCTTGACGCAAGCGACGTTTAAATCAGGGGCGTAAATGTGGGGTGTGGGGGTGTGGGGGTGTGGGGGTGTGGGGGGTGGTTCACCCCCCAGAGAAATGATCCAGTCGGTCTCAAACTACGTGCAGTCGGTCGAGCAGTCGGTCTCAAAATTATACGTTTGTTTACATGCAGTGCTTTGCGATGCAAATTAAATATTTTCGAAACTCGAGATTGGCTCAGACTATTGAGTATTGAGTATTGAGTTGAAAATTTGCTCAAACAGAAATAATATGAAGAAATATTACGTACTTATTTCGCGAGTTTATGAACGAATTATCAGTCAAAACACGCGCCAGGGGATGAAGTTTCCATTTACTTTCTAAACATGGAGATATCTATATGTCACGATTATGTGTTGGCACTTTTATTTGGAATTTAGGTTCTGCAAGGTCATTCACGGGTGATATTGATCTATATTAGCGAAATTTCAAACCCCCAAAATCAGACTCCAAAATGCGATGAATCTCGATCAAAATAGCTAACATTAGTTACAATATTTCTCCGGTCCCTAAACTATATTTTTAAGATGCAAAGTGCCAAAACGAATTTCTAGCTGAGTTATATTAGGAAGTATATGTTCACATGTAACACGATATGCATATGCATTTTGTTACCAAAGAGTTTTTTTATGTGCCTACTGTAATCAAGAAATTCGATCAGTGAACAACGCACTGGTTTATCTGAAATCACGGAGCGAAAAATTATTTCCACTGACTAGGCGATGTTTCCAATTGTTGCTTACAGTCAGGCCCATCCATAACTAGGTATATGACTGAGTCAATCGAGTTCAAGTTCAATGACAGAGAGTAGTTCTCTCTATGTAAAGAAGCATTATTCTTGCCCTACATTGACGTAAGAAATGGGAGGCTGTGTGGGTGCACAAGTACCCCAATAACAAAAGTGCGGGCCAGCGCCCAAATATTACAACAATTGAGCACAAACACTTTATTATTATGCACCTGATCAATGATGTTCGACCAAAAATATTTGTAATTCTTAGCCTCAGGATTGGGGGCAAACTACAGTATAAATTATAGTCATTGTGTCACTGTTTATGAAATTGATATTTCGTTTGAACTGCTTCCAGAATGCAGGAAATAGCGTTTCTAAGCCTTAGAGAATAAAAAATGAGCATGCCCCCAGACCCCCCCCCCAGAAGTGTCTCGGTCAATCAAAAATCCTATAGTTACGAGCCTGACAGTTCCTGTAACATCCGCATCAGCCGAGCGCAGCTTTTCAAAGCTGAAATCAGTGAAAACTATTATGCGTTCAGAAATGAACCAGGAACGCCTTGGTGAACTCTTGACTCTTGCGTGTGAGCACGATCTAACAGACACGATTGATCTTGACGAAATCGCTAATCCGTGGGCATAAAAGTATAACGTTTCACAGCAAACTGTACGTGTTCTTGCAATATTCTTAATAAATGACATCAATTTCCATGCTTTGTACTCAATTTTATTGCAACTCACCAAGAGTCGGTCTGGATTCACATTTCAGTGGTGGGTCGGTCTCATTTCGTGATTACACCCTCCCAGTCAAAATCGATATGTCCGCCCCTGGGCGTTTTTGTTGTAAAGTTTCGAAGAAACTTCACAGTGTTATGATCAGTGGGGAACATTCAAACGAGTCAGTCAGTCATAGTGTTTTGAAAGTTATTTAAACAATTTCAGTTGTCTTGTTTAAATATTCTTTAGGTCTTTTGCCAAGTTCACAAAAATTTCAAGGAATTGTTGTCGCGATTATTGTAAATTTTATAAGATTCGCTTCTCATGTTGTGTCTCTTTACCCCGGGACACCCGATTTTTCTTTAGCAGCGCAAACCCATGTCCTCTATTAACTATGCCCAAACCAACATAATGCACAGCAGGCGAGACAGCAGGTATATACTTCTAGGTTATGACTTGTCGCAGATGATATCTGATACTCATTGTGTCACTTTATTCAAATTATTGATGTATATTTCTCTTTTTTCTTTTTTTTTGTGATTTAAAATTCAAAACTATGCACCTGATTGGACAATAAAATTAGAAACTCATTTAACTGTGAGAACCGTCAAACTGAAACTTGCAGTTTTTCACACGCCGCTTTCAACGAATTGTGACACGAGGTACACGAATATGTCCTTCGTAATTGACAAAACTGTCACTAACAAAGCGCCAAAAAAACGGTCGTTTCGCAGTTTAATGGGAACAATAGTACTGTACAATATTTTTGCTGCCGAAGGCAGCACACTATTCTTAACATGCAGTATTGCGTTTACGTGTGTCCCGTCTCTTTGGCCGAGTTATGTACACGGCAAACCCTGTTACCCAATCTCGTTCCCAGAGTTAGGTAGTGGCGGGTTAGGTAGTGGCATGACTCTGGGGAAATCGAATCGAAATCGTTATTTGATTGGCTGCCGTGATCATCAATGCTGCCGACACAGTTAATGCGTGTTTTTTGTGAGAATTACGCGTGGACATACGCGAAGAGAGAATTATCAATGTTTATCAGATTTGGAATGCAAAATAAAACAATATAAATCGAAGGATATAATATTAATCGTATGAAAAAGTATTGGGACGTTGGGTATATACTTACAAAATGGCATGGTATTTATGAATGACTTTTTATCGATCTACAGTACGAGTATCATTCATTATTGTATGTGGAAACGACGGCGTA